AATTTCTTTTTTCCTGTTCTCATGTGGAAATCTGATTTCCTCTGTCTTATATGGTTTTATTAATTGATTAATTTTCGCAAATCTGAAATTTGGTGAGCATGATGTCCAAATTTGGATCATATGTAAAGTTTTGTCATGCTAATGCTAAAGCCAGATATAGTGGTATTAATTTCAACCATACTCATTCCCAAGTTATTGCACAGCTTGTCCTGTTTGTTTGTGTTTTTTTTTTAATGTACCCTTTCTCAAAAAATAAAAAAATATTAACGAGAATTTAAGACGTCTTTGTTTATTTCTAATTAATACTCATGTCTGCAATTTGACTTTTATTTGTTTCAAATGCAGTCATGAATCTTGTAAAAACATCTAACCACCTTTAACTTTCATAGTTCCAGTTATTCTTCATAGATTTTATGATACTAGAGTTGCAGAGTTTCTTGTTGCTTTAAGGCATAATCAGAAGAAGAAGACATTAGACCTCACAACTCAGCATATATTTTCATGTTAAAGGATTTCTTTATTATTTCAATTAGATCCCAGCCAAATTGACATTGTGACGGGTTCATTATCGCTGCTTTGTGCATTCTTACCCAAATATCTTTCATCATGTTAGTCTTTGATATTCATTATACTTGTATCTGTCTTTGTGATACATTGCAGGAAGGTGATAGTGGTCGCCCTAGTGCTTGGCTTTTTAAACCTAAAAAACCAGGTATGATTATTTAAGTGCTTTTTGTGGAGCCCTGTAAAATCTGTCTAGAATTCTAAATGAGGCTTTGGCTTTACAAAAATATATTGTGAGCCCAACTATAGACCTAAGTTTGCTCCTCTTTATTTTTGTTCTAGCAGAAAAGTCCAGCTCTTGGAATATATTCCCGTGATATTAGTGACTATTGCATCAAAGTGCATATATGGGCCATTTGTTAAGTGGCTACTTTATTCAATGGGTAGGTATGGTACCTCAAGGGTGTAATCGTCATTTTGGAAGTGGCTTTCCCCCCTTTTGTATGTTAGTAGCCTAGATCTCAGGGAATTTTTTCTTGTGGTAAACTCTAGTTAGTTCAAGGGATTAAGATGGGTTTGGGGCATAGTTTCTAAACCCGGCCCGTGAATCGACCTGAGATGGTCTCCGGGTCACCGAGTCACCGGGTCAATTGCTTAACCGAATAATTAATTTTAAAATTTTTTAAATTATATATAGAGTATTTTGTCATATAAATAAACATAAAAGTAACAAAATTAAATGTTTTGTATATAAAATTTGTACATTAAAGTGTTAATAATATGTATTTCATGATAAATATTTACCATATAAATATATATACATAGTTTTATTTTTTAAAAATAAAAAATATTTTAAAAAATAAAAAAAATATATAGGGGCCGGGTCAATGCCTCGGGTCAACCAGGTCAAGGCGCCCACTCGGACCGGTTCCGGCTCCGGGTCGACCCGGGTTGAAAGAACCGGTCCGGGTCGACCCGGGTTGAAAAACATTGGTTTGGGGTTAAAAACCAACTTAAATGGTGTTTTGCATCTTANGAATGTTTGTTCACACACACATCAAGAAACACTGGTGACACTCGAGCCATTGCAGGTGCTGGAGAACCTAAAAACCCGAATACCCTTAGTTTGGGTGAAGAAACCAAGGTTGTATCGGATGATGAGATGAAGAGCACCGAAACTAAGGACACCAATAATATATCTTCACAACCTAAGGCTCCTGAAAAAACAAAAAGGACTAAGAAGAAGAGGGAAGATTATGATGATGATAGCAAGACCGAGTCTGGGCAGGCTAAAACTGAGCCCAAGCCAGATGGTGCTGACAAGGACAATCTTGATTCAGGCGAAGATAAGAAAGGTAAAGGAGAGTTAGTTCTGAATTCGGCTCATTTTGATACTCTAGAAGCTGCAGTTATGGACTTGGAGGAGTATTTAAACAAGGTGAAATGGCTAAAGATTGTTTTGGAACAAGGGATTTTGCCTCCGGATGACAAGAGTCAGTGGCAGTTTGTGGAGCCTCTTGTGGATAATGATGCCACTAAATGATTCTGTAGATAAAGTAGGATTACGTCTCTGGAATTTGGTTAAGTGTGTTTGGTTAGTGTATCGCATGCATTTTAAAATAAGAAAAAAAAAAAAAATCTCATTTGCTATTGTGTTTCGTGTTCAGGGTGTGAGATGAATGCGATTTCTCGTACATTTTTTGTGGGCTTCTGAACACCTGGTTGAAATGAGGGGATGAGTTGGTAAAATTACTTTGAAATATTAGCCTGTAAATATAAAGATAACTAAATAATACGCTATCTTTAACGCTCCGAATTTGTATTCTGATAACTGGATTTGTGATTTTCCTTTTCATTTGCTACACAAAAGAAGAGGCAAAGCAGGATGGGAAAAAGAGTTTATTATTGAATGTAAAATGAATATGTCATGACATGTTAAAAAGCGTTGTGACAAAATAATCAATGGGAGATAAATTAATCAATTAAATTGTCAGTAATTAATTAATTAAAGTATGTTATATCTTTTGTATGGGGAAATAATCGAGGATAGTGGAGCTCAAATAATTGGGGAGAATGAAATGAAGTGCAATAATAAATATTTAGTGGAACTATTTATTAGTAATGGCCAAAGAAATAGGGTGGACCACAACCTAAATATTTCTTGGCCCAGTGGAAGTCCTAATCCTAGTTTCCTTAGGTCCATGTTAAAGCCTATACATATAAGCCATGTGAAGACCCTAGCTTAACATGCAAGAGAGAGAGGGAGAGATCCAAGCCACATGTTTATGGTAGACTGTCGCCCACACGATATCAGAATGACACTAATGTTTGAGTTTTATGAGGAACGTCGAATATATGCAAGTCAGGATCTAAGTCTACAAAAATAAGCCTAAAGCGCAATTAACTAAATTAAGTACAAAACACTCACGGCTTAAAACTTTTGCAGACTCTGAGACGTTTCTGATGTTTCGTTGATGTAGATCGTCTGAATCTCGCTCGAACAATCGCTGGAGATCGAATCTCCTTGTCGCCGGGTCACGTCGGGCGTGTCGTGCGGTCGCGGACAGGGACTGCTCGCTTGTGGTTGTGCTTCACGTGGGCTGCTCGCGTGCGACCGCTCGGGTCGCGCGGATTGCTCGCATGAGAAGGTGCGTCAGGGTGGGGTGTTGTCGTGCACGGGCTGCGTCGCTCAGGCAAGCGGGTGCTCAATGCTCGGGCGAGACGAGGATCAGTGCTCGGGCGATCAGCGGGAGTATCGGGTTTACCTCAGGGTTGAAATGGACGAGTAGAATTAGAAGTTGAGGAGATGAAGAGGTGGTTGATGCCGTTCGATGAAGGTCAAAATAGACGGGACAGATTAAAAGGGTAAGTGGAAATGACAGGTCTATCATGATCATTCGACTAAAGATAGATCGAGCGGGATAGGATTGAAGCAACACTGATTGGCACAATGTACAAGGGTAGGATGGGATACGAGGTGATTATGTCGAGAGGACATTGAGTTGATTTGAAAGGATGCCAGAATTACCTAACAAGATGTCAAAAATTTGAAATTCAAAATTTGAACTTAAATGTCAAAAGGGTCATTTGGTACAAAAGAAAAAGGAATGTCTAGTTGACGAGTTGGTTAGAGGGGTTGAGAGCTTAACGAGTACGACCATGGATGGGGAACAAACCAGTTGATATGGGATATCATACTAAGTCGAGTACGGCCTAAGGAGCAGTGTGACTGTACTAGGTGGACCGGCAGGTGGATTGGACATCAAGGGCACCAGAGGTCAAACAATCATCAGGCTGTTGATGATCTCACAGGTAAGAGAGATCACCAATAGGTCGAGCTAGGGCTCTCAGCTAGCCTGATAGAAACTCGACCTAGAGGCAGACAGTTTGATAAAGCTTATGCAGTGAAGGTCAAAGTAACCTATTTCAAGGAAAACTGAGTCGGTCGCACAATTAGGCCGCCTAATGAGGTAGTCTAAGGTGAACACACTGCATAAGAGATAAGAAAGAATATTATTAGGATAAGAACCACATATGTATAGGACTACGTGGCCTAAAAGAATCAGACAGCCTGGGCACCCAAGTAGTACGAATGGGTAGCTCGGGCAATCAGGCAGCCAAGCTAGGCAATCATGGTCAACAAGGTAACACTCATATATAATGGAGTGAAGCATGATCATTGGAGTGTCTACACTGAAACCACTCCTGGTGCTGTTTTCTATGTCTTGAACCGATCGATAGCAGATCCAAAGTCGTTCAAGCCATTTGAGGTTGTTTGTACACCCAGTATCATAAAACGTATCAAAGCATAGACGAGAAAACCTACAATCTTCGTAGTACCTAAGTCAATGATGGGAGATGATTTTATTGTTGCCAGTACACAATGGTATCACAATCGGTCATCAAAGGGCAACTTGGTGACATATGATGGAAGGTGGTTCCATTTTTTGATTAGGTTATAACAATGCTTAGAAGCCTTAGGCTTCTTTTTTTCACCTGGGAACTCCTCGATCCAGTCGGATAGAAATTCGAAGGTTTCTGGAGGAGGTCGCTCAAATAATAATTGTCTTCCAAGCATACACATTGGAAGGAAAGTCTTTGAAAAACTTGGCATGATTCTGAGCTATGGGATAACATATCCAGTTCTTCATCTTTAGACTAAAATGTATAAGATTCTGAGGATTGGCATTAAATCAACAACTCTGATTTAAAGCTTGGAACGAACTTCATCAGTCTCTGGAACTGTGCCTTAAAAAGGGAAGTTTGATTGTCCTATTTTATTTTCTTAGATCTACTTATCTTGGACTTATTATTTTATTTATCATATTAACATGAATGGAATTCGACCTTCCGTGGAGCAGTCGCGCGTGATTAAGAGGAAGTGTCCTACTTACCATGCATAGGAATTGAGCGTGTTGAAGAACTTCCTTACATTTGGCAATAGAATATGGTGAGTCCAACTTACCATTTAGAAGATAACTTGCGAGGGAGAAAAGATATATGGAGGAGTAGGAACGCGGCAATTGTGGAGAAAACTTACAATATTATGTTGAGATATAAAGGTTTCCAAAACTAACTGGAAATACACACTTCAGAAGTTAAGTTTTTGTTTTTGGTGAAGTGCCGAGAGGAGAGAACCAAGAGTGAACCACTCGAGGGATTTTTTCATTGTGACGTAGAGTCGAGAGCCAGTTCTCGTTCTCAGTGAGCTTGAAATCTTATTCATCGCAAATTATTGGTATAAGTGTTCGGGAAGAACACTTAAAACGAACTCAAAGGATTTGAGTTGTAAAAATCCACAAGGGAGTTGTGGTCGGAAAGGTAGTGTAATGAGTGATTACAAGATAGGTAGTGAAGAGGGAGTCTTCATTCTAAATTCGATTTTTAATGGATTAAACATTCATGTATATGAAAGAGTTCCGGAGGGGAAGCAGTATGCTCCCCTGAAGGTTCATGTTTTGTACAAAACTGCTTCCATAATTGTGTGAACTTACATGTAAGTTTACTGCTTCATATATCTAGGCAATTCTGGTTCATATATCCCCCACAATTTCACAAATTAAAACAAGAAGTCGAGGTCTTCAGCTCGAAGGCGACAACGACTAAGAATTATAAACCCTACCATTAGACAGATGGAGTTCGGGGTAAAGTGATTTGGACGAATGTGGTAGAGCTGACTTAATTGCACCAAATCCTCGTGTAGAGATAACTTGAGTTTGCTAAGGATCTGATCCTTGAAGAAGGTTTAAAATCCCGGGGGCGGCTGGTCAAAACTATTCCCAAGGCTAAGATCTCAAATATTCCAGGATTTGGAGAGCTTGCACTAGTGTTTGAAGATGGCTATTTTTTTGTGAGGATATGAACAAAAGGGGTTGGGTTTTGTGAGCTTGACACGAGGGGATAATCTCATTTTCATTGCCTTTAACTATAGTGATTTTCTTCCAACGTCTTTCTAGCTCGATGCGTTTTACAGGGACTCTCTTGGGAGGGGGAAGACACTCGACCTGCTGTGGATAGGTATCTACTAAGGTCTCGAGATCCAGGTCGCTGAGGCAACAATAACTTAGTATGGTGAACACCATCATTAGGCAAAACGAGCTCGGTGAGAAATGATTTATAAGGAGGTGATATAGTCGCTGAGTCAACTTAGGTCACTTCAATAGAAAACCAAAGGGCTCTATGGATTTGATCCCTAAAAAAGGTGTAGCAGTTGTTTGGGGAGAGGTCGAATGAATCTGTAGATTTCGGAAGGACGAGCTATCAAGAATTGGAAGCTCACAGAAGGTTTTGAAAATGCCGCTTTTCTAAGACGTCGCGTAGGTGGAAGGGTTGAGTTTTACCGATTCTTTCATCTCGGTTAGCTCGTTTAGGGTAGGCTGACCCATGATGGTTAAGGGTAGAGGAGATAAGGGTTTGGCTTGGGGAAGGCTGGACAAAAGAGAGGAAATAATGGATGGGTGAGTTTCAACAAGAGCTTCTAGCTTTCCCCAACTTACATCATCCTCGGGCTCGTCTAGGAGCCTGAGGGGCAGTCTGCGGAAGATTTTGGCCAAGGCGCAGGAATTATGGTTAGAGATGAGGACAAAATGTCGGAACTTAGGTCGTTCTGATTTATGCTACTATCAGAGCTCGAGGCGTGAGACATGATTAGTATAGGTAGTTATTTAGGCAGAGTAAAGGGAAAAAAATAAGGGAAAAGAGCTCGAAGAAAACATAATAAATGAGAAAATTATGAAGACAGACCCATGAGTCACTAGACGATGATAGAGATGAGGTCGTCTGAAGCGGTGGAGGACGAAGTACATTGTAAATGTATAGTGCAGAAAGACCTCATGACCCATGACTTGTACATAATGTGATCTTCACCAGTCCCAACACTTAGTCCATTTCTATTTTGGAAGGAAGGCCTCATTTGCTTAGTTTCCACTTTGGGAATTGTTCTTTTTCAGTTTTTTCTTTCTATTTTTATGTTTGGGAGCTCCAAAACTGGAGTTTTCCGGCAACGCTGTTTTGACTAAAAAGTTTTGACCTTTTCGCATTACTTTCGTCCGAGCTTACAAAAGAAGAGTAAATAGCTGTCTTAGGACTTATTACTTCGATTTTTTGTCCTTCTTGCTTATGAAGTTATTCAAGGTGAAGTTGGTGTCTTGGCGGGAATTATGTGTTTAGGCTCAGCTTTTGGTAAAGTTTCAAGTTTTTTACTCCGATATTCTTTGAGCATGCAATAGGAGAGTGAGTACTTCGTTTTAAGATTCATTACTCTATTTTTACTTATGAAACTTTTAGAGGTAAATTTGGTGTCTTGCTTGAGAATTTGGGTGAAGTTTGGATCTTTTTATTTTTCTTGCTTGTCTAAATGAATTTAGGAGTTGAATTTTA